ACAAGAGTACGATTCCTCATGTCTCTTTGCAACGTGAATATTTTTGGAAACGTAAGAGTATTCATAAGCATTCGGCTTACTTTTTGTCCTCCCAATTTTATCACTAAGCCTTCTGATTTCGAGGCCTATTGAGATCATAACCAGTCATGGTCTATCCACTGCTGGATAAAGTCCTACTCAAGCCATCGACATTCCTTGTGGTCTCACAATGCCCAACCCATCTGGCACTTAACATGCACATGAGTTGATATCATCGTCCTATCTCCTTGGTGGTTGTCTTGCTCAACATGTTCTCTGCTTTGGTTGCCATGATTTCACAACATACTCTGAGAATATATGCATTGTCTTTGAGACTAGGCTCAAAAGAAAGATGTCTCTGGTGTGGACCAATCAGTTTCAAAGACAATGCACATGTTATCAGAGTTTGTTTTTTGTTTCCATTCTGACCACACGTATTGTGGTTAGTGCAGATATGATTCCTTGTAAAGGGTTTCAGTTTGGTGTTTTCACATCTTAACACCTGTTTTGTTGTCAGAAAAAAAGGGAAAACCTATTCTCATATTTTGGTTCTGGCAAAGGAGTCCCATGATGACTTCACTTGTTTATGATGTTCAGCAGGGGGAGGAATTGCACATAATGGTACTCGTAAATATGGATATTCAAGTTACCGGTCAGGGCCAATGAGATACGAGTTTTGTTGGGCCTGCTAGCATCAGCAACAAAAACCTTGGATGACATTGGACCAATGAGTTGGCTTTGTGTCGACGAGTCATCAGGTGAAAGGGTTATTTGATCTGACGGCGGATGCGAAGCTGCGTTGATAGTGGTGATTTACTTCTTCTGACCTATTGGCACAAGAAATTGTCGACATAGATTATACAGGCAGACCCCGTAGAACGCTGATTTGTTATAGTGCTATTTGTCGTGGAAAAAAATCTAAAAAACATCTAAAATGCGTTTAGGATTGAGAACACGCAGCAGTGCCTGCCGAGGACACGTACTGGCTCATCCAATGAGAGCGACGTACGCTAAGCCAACCAGACCCCATCTCCATGATTCGATTACAGGGGTACCTCGGTATACGTCGTTAATTCGTTCCAGAAGGTAGGACTTATACCGAAAATGACGTATACCAAACGAATTTTCCCCATAAGAAATAAAGGGAAAGGAAATAATCTGTTCCAGAGTATAAGAAATGATATTTTATATGGCATATTATACATTAATGGGGTTGTATAAAATAATCTCGACACTACTGAATACTAAAATGCATTCATAAATTAAAAGAAATGCTTAAATTAAAATAAATTGAAATAAAATGTAACATCACTTTACCTTGCTGAGAGGAGTTGATCGCCTACGAGGATGGTGGTGAGGAAGGGGAGGCGTCGTGAACGGGGGTATACGCGGGTACGCAGTGACTCATCCCGACCCATACAAGTTCCAGCAAGCGCGTCATATCCCAAGCAAGACGTATCCCAAGGCATTTTTTCTCGTCAAAACACAACGTATACCAAATTCGATGTATGCCAAAGCGGTTGTATACCGAGGTATTACTGTATTACACTTATTACAATGTTATTACAGAGCGTTTAGCCAGTTGAAAACTCACGAGACCCGGACCGAGTCTCAGGCTCCATCTAAAATAAACCACAAATTTTTACTGAAGTCATCGCTCAGACCCAGATTGGAAGCACGGCAGCTCCAACTTCATCTACTCCCGCTGGCTTTTAGAAGTACAGTTGTTTTCATGTGTGAGTATAGTACATAATATTTACTGATTTTGTAATAAATTCGTATTTTTATTTATGAAAATAACGTTTACCATCTGTATTCTTAGCGCTTTCAATTATACCCCAATGAAGCCCTCATGTTGCTCATACGAAAGAAATAACACTGTCGGGAACGCATCCCCATATCTACAATGGTATAATTACCCCTTTTAGCGCTGATTCGATTAGCGCTCACTTCTCCAGGAACGAATCTTGAGTGCAAAGCAAGATTTGCCTGCTTGTAATTATTTCAGCAAGAAGAGCCCAGTGACCTGCTATGCTCTTTTATGGGCGTCTTACAAGCACAGATCACAATACAAAATAGCAAGTATCGCTACATGGATTATATGTTATGGGAATAGGCAATTGGTCAAAAAAGCAACAAAACATGTCTTCAGGAAAACTGCCGAATACAATGTTATCGAAAGCATGTTTTAGCTATACACAGTTTACTTAAGGGATGAGAGTGCTGCATTTATTGGAAAGTATGATTGTACACTATGGGGACCTCATTTGCCAGTAAAAATATGATAATTGGTTCTTTACCCTTCTATCTGGCAACAAAACTGACACCTTTTTGCAAGGAGTCATGTTTGCATAGACCGCAATACCTGCAGTCATAATACAAACAAAAGAACATAACTCTGATAATGTGCACTGTCCTTGAAGTTGATTGGTCCACACTCGAAGGAAAGCTGTCTCGGGTGTGGACCAATCAACTTCAAGGACAGTGCACATTATCAGAGTTATGTTCTTTTGTTTGTATTATGACTGCAGGTATTGCGGTCTATGCAAACATGACTCCTTGCAAAAAGGTGTCAGTTTTGTTGCCAGATAGAAGGGTAAAGAACCAATTATCAAGTATGATTGTGTGAATGAATTAACTCTGAAAAGGATTCATTTATCATGTATGGTTTTATTAATGTTTTACACGCATTGCTGCATGCATCTAGCAGTCCACTTATTGAGGACATCAGTCATACGGACGCTTAGATAGCGACTCATTAAAGTGATGTGAGGGACTGGCAATTTAATGTCAGGGGCGAGCGTTGGGCGTGAGTACCACAGCGTGGGAAGAATCATGAAAGAGTGAAAATTTTAACTAAACTTCATAATCATTCATAATCTAAACTAAAAATATTTTTTATTTTAACAGATATCTCTTTTTCAGAAGCGACCTGGCCACAAATGATAGCTGAATGAAGTGGCTTATTATGTGGAAATGTATAGCAGCCAAATACTTAAAACTTATACTCTTAGATTTTGTTCGGTAAAGTCACATATGTAAACAATAAAAAATAAAATTAATAAAAGTAATAATAGAAATAAAATAAAATCATAAATCACGACGTTTCGGAGGCAACACAAGTCTCCCTCATCAGGTGGGACCATCACAGCTAGATTTACTGTATCAAGTGAGGCCTCACATGACGGAGACTTGTGTTGCCTCCGAAACATCGTGATTTATTATTTTATTTTATTTCTATTATTACTTTTATTAATTTTCATTTTATTTTTTACCTACGTGACTTTACCGAAAAAACCTAAGAGTATGAATCCTTGCAGTCACGAAAGCTTCAAATCTAGACTTAAAACTTATGTTTCTAAATGTGGAGGGAAAAACCGAAGGACCCGGAAAATAATCAACATGACCACGGGGAGAGAGACATGCAAACTCCAAATAGACAGACGTCAGGGTTGGGATCGAACCAACGACCTCCTGTATAGCAGGCAAGGTTGTTCACATCTCGCCGCTGTGGCACACTACACACACACAAAATGGAGAGCGACTCAACATCCTTTATTACAATAGCAAGGGTAGACATCATGTAGAATTAGTTAAACAAAGAGGAAGGGGGTGAAAAAATTTAAATGAAAACGAAATTTTTACCTACGTGACTTTACCGAATAAAACCAAAGAGTATGGATTCTTGCAGTTACGGAAACTTCAAATCTAGAAGGAAGGGGGTGATCATTCCGTACCCAGGAACGCAAACCGATATTTCCCCTCAGGTTGAACGCGGTTTTGCGCAACACAGTTTTTCTTGTACATTTTTTCACCAGAAAAAAGAAAGCAACGAAAAAATACGTAATTTCACAAAGCCAACACAGTCAGTAACTGGGGGGGGGGGGGGGGGGGCCAAGTGTGATCCACAGACTCGGGTTCACGCTTCTCTTTGAAGGAACTTGAGTTTCGGGAGTGAACGGCGGCTTCTCATGGTCGTCAATTGAACCTTATGGCGGGACCCCGGGGTCCTGAATAAACGGAAGCCAAAATCTTAATTAATAAAAATTTTGCTGACTCAGTCCCACCGCGCACATAAACGCCGCGACCCACCTGGCGCGGATCATTCTGTTGTCATATCGTCCAAGCGCAGCGAGGACGATATGACAATCCTATTACCTGCATATATTTAACAGATGAGATGGGTTGCACCGTTAATTCCTCCTGTTTCATAATACTTCTCTTCTCCGTATGCATCGGTGCAGATAGGTTTCTTTTTTTTGCGGTTAAGCCGTAGTCTCCGCATACCGCTCGTATCAATACGGATAAGAGGAGCGGCGACCCACTACTCTGTAGAGTAACATTGTATAAATGCTTGTTACAGAATGAACAGCGCATTGAAAACATGTCCTATTTTATGTACTGTTTACCAAGTGTGTTCACAAATGCACACTGAGAAACACGATGATTGACAGAGGGGTGTAAATATTTTTTTCGATAGTGTATTTAAATAGAGGTACTGCAGGTAAGTCGATTTCAATTTTAAAGGCATAGTTTAACAAGACAACACTTGCCACCATCCTTCAAACCCATTGGGGAAAAAGAACCTAGTTTGTGTTTACATTTTAATATGTTTATGGCGGTGTCCTGCCATAAGGTTCAATTATTAAATTGCCAAATCTAATGAGATAGCTTTTTCATAACGAGGGCCTTTTTCCCACAGTCCGAATAAAACTTGGGGTTTTTTAAGAGGAAGTAGGATGATAATTGGTTCTTTACCCTTCTATCTGGCAACAAAACTGACACCTTTTTGCAAGGTGTCAGTTTTGTTGCCAGATAGAAGGGTAAAGAACCAATTATCATATTTTTACTGGCAAATGAGGTCCCCATAGGAAGTAGGATATTTTGGGGTCAACAGAACCATTAAGTATTTCTAAGATAAATCCAAGTGAAACGTTAAATTAAACAGAGCCCAGTGGATGTTTCTACATGCAGAATGAGTTCAAGATTGCATCAATATAAAGGTCAGAATGGTGGGTATTGTAGAAAGCATCCAGTGCAAAGCATATAGCTGAATGGTACAGTGAGTTGAGCTTATTTAATATAACTGCACAAACCATCTGATAAACGAGATCATGGTCATCAAAAATTTAAAGTATTGCTCTTGCCATATCTAAACCTAGAATAGATGGTGTGCAGTTAAGTATAGGAAGCCAATTTTAATCTTGGCAATGTAAGCAAAGTGAGTGAAACTTAAATTTAGAGTCTGATGAAGCCCAATTATTTTTACTCCACCACTTCTTGGATGTGTTTATTATCTAGAGGCATAATCTGATTTGGAAACATAGCAGGATTTCTCTTATTTGAAAAATTATTACTTTGGTTTTATTTCCATTCAGAACCAATTTTAAGGAAATAAACTGATGATGAATTCGGTCAAAATCATTTTGCAATTTAAGGTCCTGTATACCTCTTTTGGTGAACTTACACCTACCATTATTGGTTTATTGTCAGAAATTAGTTTGACAATCAGAGTAAGGAAGTTGACTTCCCAGATCATTTACAAAGAGGGAGAATAAGATTGTTCAAAGTATAGAGCGTTGTGGAACTCCGTGATTTTTTTTTCAACTGGAGAAATTGAGGCTTTCGAGTCTTTTTAGTATAGTCACATGGCCGACTATACCGAAGGGTTTGGACAAGTCAATGAATAGTATCATAGAGTGTTGCTTATTGTCCAGTCTATTAAATACAAAATGTAAGGAGTTGAGAAACCACGGAAGTTGTGCAATAATGTTCGTGGAAGCCTCATGGTTTAGGGTAAAGCAGACAATTTTTAGAGGTGTAATTGTTAATTGGGGCCTAGAGAAATTTCTCAAATATTTAGATTCGTCGTGATAGGATTGAAATTGGCCGCTAATTATTTGGGTTGTTTGTAGATCCACTTCTTAGAAGGGGATGAATGGGTGTCTTGGAATGGAGTGCATAACTCTGAGGTGAATTTAATATAACAGACTGGCCCTGACACTTCAAGACAAGATTACCGGGCACATCACGACTATGTGACCAATTGGATGACTGGAACAATGGCGAACAAAAGAGACTTGGTGAAGCTCATGCAGGAACTTGCCAATTGATGACATTGGCACAGGCTTGGAACATATCACTAGGAGCAATGTACCTGATGAGAGATTAACACCGTTGACAACCACCTAAGCAGGACTGTAATAGATCCATAAGGGTCGAGGATATAATCAGCCATAATCAATCCACTGCTGGATGAAGGCCTTCCGAAGCTGCCGTGACCTTGCAAGGTCTTGCTGCCACACCATTATTATTCTTGACCATCATCCCTTATAGTGATGTAGCCTGCCCAAGTCCACTTTTTTAAGCGTTTGGATGTTCTTATTAACCTGCGTATGTTCTCTAATCCATGGCTTCCTCTTTCTCTCAATGTAATCCCAAGCATGCATCTCTCTGCTTCTATGTGAACTTCAACATTTTCATTATATATTAGTCATGAATTACTGTTTTTCTGAACAGTTTATCATACCAAGACATGGTTTATGATGGAGTTATACAGTCGGTCGTCTACTTACGAACACAATCAGTTCCTGGGAACCGTTTGTAAGTAGAACGGTTCATCATTCGTAACCCAAAAATTACTATTTAAATGTCTATAGGTCAGTGTTCTGAAATGTGTTATGGTTCAACATGGAAGCATTGTTGAACTCATGAGAAGAAATATTGTACATTTGCATGCAACACTGTAAAAAATACTGTATTAAATAAAACAAAATAAGGTAACAAATAGGGAAAAAATGCGTTTTATCTTCACTTACCTTGCGTCCTAATGCTGGCTTGCTTGTCAGAAGGGGCACAATGAGTCACCAAAATTGCACACATACAGGGCACGCACGCATGCACACACACATAGACACAACAGACAAAGGCACACGGACAGACAGGGAATACGCACTCACACAGACACACTCCAACGACAATGGTCTCCCATATAGCCTTAACAGATTGTTGGAGAGCCAGCGCCTTTGAAGGCAGGCACGACACACGAGAGGGTTAGTGGGCAACACTGCCCGGCCACCATTGACCACCATTGACTCCCCAGTGGCGACGTTTACACACTGAACCAGGTTCTCATTTGATGCTGAGTCGAACTAGAGGAGGCCTAGGACCCATGCAGATAATCGTCATTGGTGTTTGTCATGAGCGGAAATGAAACTCTTGTTTGCCGGGTTCGTAGCGCACATTGCACTTGTGCTCCCCACACACACACACGAGGGCAACGCGCGCACGCACACACGTGCACGTCCACACACACACTTTCACATACAGATACTCACTTTCACACACACAGACTTTCACAAACACACGCACACTTACTTTAACACGTGCGTGCACACACACAAACGCTCCCAGCGTGAGCCAGACTCATTACATCTTGCGGAGGATCACTCCACTGAACAAAATAGTTCCACGGTTCAGTTTGCAAGTGCGAGTTAGTGTTTAAAGTAATTTTAAAAAAATATGTTTCATGGAAGTTGGTTAGTAAGTGTGGGTTTTTGTAACTTGGATATTTGTAAGTCGAGGACTGCCTTATACTGCTAACAAAATACTTTAACGCCTGATGTTTACATCAGTTTGCGAATGTGTATTTGCTGTATTTGTGTGTGCAATTATTTGTACAGTCGAATCTCCCAATGAAGCCGATGTTCCCTGAAGTTGATTGGCTTTCCAGCTCGTCTTTATTCTCTGCCAATGGTTGTTGCCAGTACAGTAATAAAAAATGCTAAGCCATTGATGGTCAGGTGTCTCTCAGAGGTCAGAATGCTAAGCTGGCAGCATCGAGGTCCTGGTTGAAAATTCAGGTAGCTGCTTATAATTACACCGGTTACCAGTGACTGAAAAGAACCCTCACAATAATTGGCATCTGTATATATTCTGGAGAAATGCCAGCTATGAAAGTAAAAAATATCTTACTGTCATGTGCCAAACATTTATCTGTGTCGGTGGAAAAGGGTTTCCCCCTACTGTGTGGAACAGAGGTAACGTAAAGGGATCTCAGAGACAGCTATCTGAGATTGATTTCCATGTTCCTGTTCTCTCTCCACAAAGTGCCACGCTGCTCTGTGAGAGATTTGAATTGTTGTTTGGTTTCATGACGTAATGTCGAGCCCCCAGTCGGGCAGTAACATTTGGCAATGAGTGCTGACATGTAAACCTCTCAAAAGTAATTGAGACGTAACCATGGAGAAAATATTGCTCCTAATAGCATTTAAAAGTAAAACTAAACTTGAGTTAACCCGAATATAGGAATTTGTATTTGTTGTTTACATATGGAAATGTGTATTCTGTCCTCAGATAACACAAGCGATGGCTGCGGAAACCCAAACACTCAATTTTGGACCAGAATGGTGAGCACTGTTCTGTGAACTCGTTTATTGGGTGATAGAGATCAAGATGCAAGTACATTTTTTTACATTTAAAAAATGTTACACATTTATCTGTGTATCCAGCCAGGTTAATTGTTTTCATTTGGTTTAAAAATTAAGATTGCTGTGATTTTTGACTCTTGATATGAATAAAGATGAATTTAGTTGCCCATGAATAAGCTTTCATACCTTATTTTTTTGATGGAGTTTTCACATGCTTTCAGCTTGAATATGTGTGTAAAATTCGCTTTAGAAAGTTAATGTAATTTATATTCAAATTAGCGTGAAGGCGGTGCTGGTCTCCAAATTAGTATAAGGCAGTGCTGGTCTCCAATCTACGGTGCAGGTCTCTAAATTAGCATCAAGGCGGTGCTGGTCTCCAATCTACAGTCCTGAACCAGTGGTGGAAATTTCTCAGTTCTACAGCGAGTCTGTCCATATGACAACCACTATCTATGGGATCTTTTTTGCAAGTATCAAAGTATGTAAAATGAGAATAGGTTTTACCCTGTCTGGCAATAAAACAGGACATGGTAAGATGTTGAAACACCAAATATATACCTTTTTCAAGGTATCAAGTCTGCATGCTCTGATAATATATGCATTGTCTTTTGAAACTGATTGGCTAACATCAGAGACAGTCTTCTTTATGGCCTTGTCTCACCAATGTCAGACCAGAGAACGCCAATAGGCAAACATTACAAATACAAGTGTAGAGTAGTAGTTAATGATGTTACGTCACGCTCACCCTTCGGTGCGATGACGTAAGAGAGTGACGTCATGCACGGCGGGCAGAACGGTGACGTCATGCCCCCCTGGGGTATTTAGGTTGGGACCCGTGACGTGTTCCAAGTCGTTGTAGGAGTCCGTGATCGTGTGAAGATGGAAGTTGGAACCAGGGTAGGGGGAAATTAGCGCAAGGATAGAGCAGCCTGTGTAAGTGCTAGAAATTCCTAGTACCCTTCCCCTGAGGTGTAGAGTGCAGCTAATTAGAGATGGGAACATGTGCCTGCAGTGGGAACAGCCCAGCCGCTGCCGAAGGAAGGCTAGAGGGTTAGAGCCCCACCTCATCGCCGGGCGGTGATGGGCGAGCCCCCGCCCGGGGCAGACGAGGGGAATCCGTGCCGGGGGGTTAGAATAATGTGAGATAGTTCACGTGCAGGCCAGAGTTCTGACGCGCCCCCTAACGGGTGCAGGCGTCGGGTGTGGAGTGTAGGCAGTGAGCGGGCTGTACTCAGAGTGTAAGCAGAGTCGTGTGTGAAGAAGAGTGTTTAATAAAACAACTGGCGCAAGCCCTTACATGATGCTCCGTCTCCGTGTGGATCTACAAGTCTCCAGTGGTGTCATGGTCAACCACACAACACAACTATCAAAGCATTTATAGCTCGGGTTGAGCAATTATATCGAGAGGACCTTTTTTGCCAGTATCAAAGGATGAAAAATTAGAATAGGTTTTACCCGGTCTGGCAATAAAACAGGACGTGGTAAGATGTTCAATCAAGTCTGCATGCTCTGATAATATATGCATTGTCTTTTGAAACTGATTGGATTACACCAGAGACAGCCTTCTTTATGGCCTTGTCTCACCAATGTCAGACCAGGGAATGCCAATAGGTGAACATTACAAATACAATACAAGTTTCAAATAATTTATAGCTCGGGTTGTGCAATTATACCCATAGGACCTTTTTTGCCAGTATCAAAGTATGAAAAATAAGAATAGGTTTTACTCTTGCCAGAAAGGATACAATCTTTTCTTATTTTTCATACTATGACAACCACTGTTAACATCTCCACAAAGTAGTAATTATGTTGTGCACCCTGGAAGGATGATGGGCTGAGTTAACCCCAAATCAGGATTTGAACTCACAACCTTCCGATTGAGAGCTGCTCGCTCTACCGCTGAGTCCCCTGGGTAATTTTTGCTTTCCATAACAGCCATATATATCGTAGCCATGTTATGGTTAAACGTTCATTGCACGAGTCTCTACATCAACACTGATGGTCCCTTTTCTCACAGGCTGCGTACTTTGTCAAGTGGTGGGAGTGTCACCTCCCCTCCTCCTTCACCGGCCTTACCTAAGTACAAGCTAGCTGACCATCGGTATGGCCGAGAAGAAATGCTTGCACTTTACATCAAGGAACACAAGGTATGTTACAATGGTCTTCTGTATCAGTATTGCTCTGCAATGTAAATTTTCTCTTCCGGAACTAAATATTCAGCTAGGTTGTAGCTCCATTGAAGGGTTAATGTAACTATCCAAACTGGACCAAAAGTACACGCAAAAACACACATCATACATGAACACATATACACAACACAAAAGACAAAGAGTCCCCATATATCTTATTGGTTCTTTCGGTAAAGTCACGTAGAAGGGAAGTAATAAAATAATAAAAATAAAACATAATAAAACAATTCTCACGACGTTTCGGCCACAACGCAAGCAGCCGTCATCAGGTGAAAACCAGGTCTGTCGAGGCGACAGCGTCTGAATGAAACAGCACACGTGTTTGGAGCCTATATATAAGCTGGGTTGGAAGGGGGGAAAAGGGCGCCTTGACAAAAGAATATGCATATCAAGAGGAATTTAGCATATTTATGGGAAATGCAGGTATGTGATTACGACTACTTATGCCCGTGCATTATGCAGGATTAGCAGCATCAAAGGGAAGGGATATGGGAAATGCAGGTATGTGATTAGTAATACTTATGCCCGTGCATTATGCAGGATTAGCAGCATCAAAGGGAGGGGATATGGGAAATGCAGGTATGTGAATAGTACTACTTATGCCCGTGCATTATGCAGGATTAGCAGCATCAAAGGGAGGGGATAGGGGTAGCATTAATAAAGGGAAGGAGTGTTAATAGTATGTAGCTGCAGTAACTAAAACCACCACGTAAACAACTAAAGAATAAACTACATAGTATCATCAGTATACTAAATACACTCTACAATAAGCTGAGTTACTACCAGTAAGTAATACATTACAATTCTACGTCGTAAAAAATATATAATATGCTTCCATCTAAACTTTATTCTCTTACATCACACGAGTCTACACCGTACTATATACTGCCATAGACAAACCCAACATTAAATTATATACTGTATTACCATACACTATGTTTTATTCTACCCACCCTAATGTATATCACACTGCTGTATATTGACTATACAATTACGATACTATATATTACTTTGTACATTGTATTAAGCATATAAATGTTATACTATTTGTTATTATACACTGTACCATTGACCGTCGTGTGAAAGATACTAAGAGGAAGCAACGAAATATGTCAATGGGTGAGTATTGAGGGGAAACTTGCAGCGGAGCAAAGAATCCATTCCGTGCGGAAAATACAATGCCAGTGAGTGGAACGCGGTCTGAAAGTCACCGTAAACATGAACACAATCAGTTAAGATCCGAAATGGTTGTTTACGTGGTGGTTTTAGTTACTGCAGCTACATACTATTAACACTCCTTCCCTTTATTAATGCTACCCCTATCCCCTCCCTTTGATGCTGCTAATCCTGCATAATGCACGGGCATAAGTAGTACTATTCACATACCTGCATTTCCCATATCCCCTCCCTTTGATGCTGCTAATCCTGAATAATGCACGGGCATAAGTAGTACTAATCACATACCTGCATTTCCCATAAATATGCTAAATTCCTCTTGATATGCATATTCTTTTGTCAAGGCGCCCTTTTCCCCCCTTTCAACCCAGCTTATATATATGCTCCAAGCACGTGTGCTGTTTCATTCAGACGCTGTCGCCTCGACAGACCTGGTTTTCACCTGAGGACGGCTGCTTGCGTTGTGGCCGAAACGTCGTGAGAATTGTTTTATTATGTTTTATTTTTATTATTTTATTACTTCCCTTCTACGTGACTTTACCGAAAGAACCAAGAAGATGAATCTCTGCAGTCACGAAAGCTTTAAATCGAAGTCCCCATATAGCCTAAACAGAAATTCCATCAATCTTGCGGAACCCATCCAGCAGACCAGGATTGCCTGTGCACACAAATGCCACCCTCCCTCAGCAGTTCGTTTGAGAAGTCATCTCTGCCTGGTCCTTTGCTTTGGTTTCAGGTTGTGGATTGCAATTCAGACTTCAGCAACAGATGGCACATCAGCCAGCCACTCAAAGGGAGTGGATAATTCTTCCAATATTTGAGGCACGGTTAGCCCCAGCAGGGTAAACCCCACCTTTCCCTGTGGTGTTGTCTGAGCTGAGGGGTTTCCCCTTCATCCTCATAAATGCTCAGCAAATCTGCATACCTGTTTGTGGGGGATAGAGAATGGATCACTGTTCATTTCTTTAGTGGTGGTATTAGGTGTGGTGTTGAAATTTACTTTTTTGATGGAATTAAAGAGTGATTTGTGATCACACCCTACTCGGGCAGTTTCCATCTCCTCAGCAACCCGTAACCACCAATCATGCTTCCAGCAATGCACAGCTTTCTCTTAGGGAAGGCTGTGGTAAGCCTCCATATTCTCGGATGTGGGATATTTTAGACGGTGGGAATGGGCCTGCCGATTTCTCTCAACTAGCCGGAACACTTCTTCCCATCAGCCAGAGTCTCTGAGGACCACATACCCAATGATACACAGCAAACACAAAACACTCCTCCATACACAAACACATTTTCAACATAGACAAAAGATAAAGATCCCCTGTATACAGTGACAAAGAAATGATCAGTCTATAATTTTAATGGTATTTGAACAGTGAGAGACAGAATAACAACAACAAAATCTAGAAAAATGCATGTCAAAAATGTTATAAATTGATTTGCATTTTAATGAGGGAAATAAGTATTTGACCCCCTCTCAATCATAAAGATTTCTGGCTCCCAGGTGTCTTTTATACAGGTAACGAGAAAATCTGTGGAGGGAGCTGAAGGTTCGAGTTGCCAAACGTCAGCCTCGAAACCTTAATGACTTGGAGAAGATCTGCAAAGAGGAGTGGGACAAAATCCCTCCTGAGATGTGTGCAAACCTGGTGGCCAACTACAAGAAACGCCTGACCTCTGTGATTGCCAACAAGGGTTTTGCCACCAAGTACTAAGTCATGTTTTGCAGAGGGGTCAAATACTTATTTCCCTCATTAAAATGCAAATCAATTTATAACATTTTTGACATGCATTTTTCAGGATTTTTTTTGTTATTCTGTCTCTCACTGTTCAAATAAACCTATCATTAAAATTATAGACTGATCATTTTTTTGTCAGTGGGCAAACGTACAAAATCTGCAGGGGATCAAATACTTTTTTCCCTCACTGTAACTATAACATACTTTTACGACAAATGCTGTTAGTGAGTACCTATGAAGGCCAGTACGTCAAACGAGCAGGTGGGTGGCCAGCACCATGCCCGGCTACTTTTGTATCCCGAGTAGCAATGTTTTCACACAACACGAAGTGCTAATTTTAGGCTGAGTCGACCTAGGACATGCCCACAACTATTTCACTGGTGTTGGCCGTGAGTGGGAAACGAACTCGGGTCGCTGAGTTGGTAGCGCAGCGCCCTAACCGCTACACTACCACTCCCCATACCACCATATACAACACACGCACAGCTCGTACAGTCATGCTCTACGTGTTGTAATGTTGATAAGTTCTACTCGAATGTGCCAATGAGTCGTCATGCCATGATGAACTACTGTAATTATGGAGTCGCTTTATTTGCCTCCATGCTCACTTCGGCACTGACTTCCATCAAAAGTTGTTTGCAAAAAAACGAATTGAACGGTATTACACACGATTGGCGGTCATGTAATCAGTCCAGCACAGGAAGTCACAAATCTAGGTGTCATCTGTGATCCCACATTGGTCCTTCAAGGCTCATATCAAAAAGATCACAAAGACTTCATTCTTCCATATTTGAAATTTCGTCCGTATCTGATCCCTTCTCTCGGGCGCAGATGCAGAAAAGCTGCTCCATGCCTTCATCTCATCTTTCATTGACTATTGCGATGTCTTATTACTCCCTGGCGTGGCTAAGAAAGTGCTGATCAATTTGCAGCATGTTCAGAATGCGTTGTGAGCGTGTTAACCAGAACACCTTCACATCATATTGCACCGTGTTGGCCTCCCTGAACTGGCTTCCAGTTTCACATAGAATTTAGTTTAAAATCCTATGTTTAACTTACAAAGCGGTGAACCATCTTGTCCCAGCCTTTGTCATTGACATGCTGCACCCATATATCCTCTCAAGGTCCCTAAAATTTGGGAATGCAGATCTTCTCTGCATTCCCAGGTGGAGGCTTCGGTCTATGGGTGACCGATATTTTTCCCTTGTAGGCCCTCATGCTATGAAACGCTCTTCCACGAGACATCAGAGTCTGGATATTTAAAAAATGTGTCTTAAAACCTATTTATATGCTTCCGCTTTTTAACTTTTAGTTCATTTAGTAAATGGATTATTAAAATGTATTTACAATATAAGAATTTTATCCCGAGTGTCTGCTGCTGCTGTGTCCTGTACAGCACTTTGAGATCCTTGATGAAAGCGCTATATACATAGAATGATTATTATTAATATACGTTCATGATTTTAATGAATGATGAAAATGTAAACATGTATTGCCTTTCCTTATTTGCTTGCTGTGCATACAGGTTCCAGAGGATTTGATGGACAAGGAGTTTCTGCCCATTCTTAATGAGGAGCCCCTGCTGCCACTTGCTTTGGTGCCGTTCACAGAGGAAGAGCAAGTAAGAATCTTTATATCGCGGATCAGTCATTCACAAATACAAGTGCATGGGGTTGCGAGTCCTAGAAGAGAGACGTTTCTCACGTGGAGGCAAAGCCTCCTGACACTGGTGACATGTATAGTCTTGCCTGCCGTGCGCTTTCATAGAGTGGTCATCTCGGTCACACTGATGTGACATCGATTTATTGTCTTGTGACTTGGTGCCAATAGTGCAATATATCACGCTGAATGTGGTTATAAGTGAGACCTTTCTGCCTCCCCGCTTGGCTCTTTTGTCTGATTATAAGATGCATTTAATTTCAAGCTGCACCCTACGGCAAGGATTGCCTTCTCCCCTTGTGGGCTTATACAAGTCCTCATCCATCAGCTATTGTATACTTAAGGCACTTGGACCAACTCGCACGACCATTTGTGTAATATAACAACTGAAACCATTGCACGCACTTGGTTCCACAAGGGCAACCCACATACCTTAGGCAACGCTCTTGTGTTGGTAGATTAAAACCTCGAAATTAACAGCATAGTGATGGTTTTTGCTCAAGTTGAATGTTATCTTGTTTAACCAGGTGAGAACTCAAGAGACCAAGGTGAGTCTCCTTTGGAAGAATGACCTGGGTCCCCAAAAAATGATTACAGCTAAACCAACAAAACAAAGTACAGCAACAAAGTATAGCAATAAGACCAAAAATTAAATCAGAAGCACGATATGACATGAAGAGTTAATATTACACATATAAATCACAAATCGGCTCGGGCAGATTACTTCCAGATTTGTTTCAGAACAAATTACACAACTAAGCTACATCAATATTAAACATATAGGTTGACTATAGTACTTATATTTAAACAAACTAGGATATATTTCAAATGCTTTAATTTTGATTTGGTTGTTATTGCCCTGATTGATATTTACTTCATTTTTGCTTTAGTAATTTTGGTGACCCAGGATGCCCTTGCAGATTAGACTTATCTTGGTCTCTTTATTCAACTGATTACATAAAGCAAACTGAACACGAAACAGCCTCTGCTACGAAGTGCTCAGCGTGCCGAGTTGGCTTGCCCTGCCGGCCCCACTGATGCTTTTGAACGAACCATCTATTGTCTGCGCCAATTGCGTTGTTGACGTGAGGGTTGTTTGATCCTCGCAGGAACGACTAACACTTTGACACGTCGTGTCTCCCACCGTAGAGAAATTTCTCCATGTCGGTGAACAGTGCGGCGGTGCTGAGGCTCATGGGGAGGGGAGGAGGGCCCGTGGTAGCAGGGGCTCCGAGAGGTCGGGGCGTCACTCGGGGCAGAGGTCAGTGGGCGCATGAAACCACCATGGCATGGTAACCCCCCATACCCCCACGTTCTACTCTTAGGCACCTGCCACTGAGGCATGGGGTTAACTTCTGCTCTTCATCACCTGGCATTTGGAATTTGGTCATCCTTTGCCACAATTTCTTTACCACTCTCAAAGTTGGTCGACACTTCTTTGTTTGAAGGTATAACACTACCACCGTATCACCAACTTCCAGCTGTTATGAAACCACCAGTACTTGCTGGCTAGGAACTTTTCAAGTTGCTTTGTTAATTTTCGGCTCCATTCAGTAATCATCGTCGCCATCAGCCATTCTATTTCCACCGCTGGTTGAACGCCTCCCCACACACCGTAGCCATCTCTCACGGTCTACTGCTGCTACTGTTCATCTACCTACTGCACATTCACGGATCTTGTTGCTCCATCTCTGTGGTCGTCTTCCTCTTTTCACCCACTTTTCTGCCCTTGGATGCTGTTCCAGCAACAGTCTTGTCCGTTGTAAGCCCTTTCATCTTGTGATTTCCCTCCTCGGCAACACAGCTCCGGCTTTCATCACGTCGAGGGCACAGATGTTAAAACCCTGTCTTATATTGGAAAGGGGCTTCACACCCCTTCGTCCTCTCCAGCTTCGGAAGGATGTTTTATTCCCTTGTATTTAAAGGATCCATAACCTTGGTTGGTCCTTTGGGTGAACCTCCTTTGCGTCCACTTTTGATCCACTTTAGGGTTGTCTACAATTCAAACCCCTTGTAAACAAGTGATAAAACTTAGCAAAATTCTGCTCAGCAACATAGATATATCTAGTATAAAATAATAATAAAATATTTTATACAAGAGAACTCCAATTAGCCGCGGCCCTATTAACCACTACTCGGATTGTCTGCGGCAGCTGTAGGGTTTGGGGAAACTCGTATTCGTGGCCCCTGTTTATATTATCTGCAATTTTACTATTTATTTTAGTGATGCTATTTCGGAATACTCACTTTTTTGTGGATGAGAGGATTCATGCTGCTAGTACCAGGGGGTTATCCGCGATTTATTTTACAAAAGTGTGCTGTTATCACGGGCGGCACTTTAATTGAGACAAAACAGACAGGAGTACTCTCACGGAGACACAAACAGGAAGAGACATACACAGAGATGCTGAAACAGACAAGGAGACACTCACAGACTGGGAGACACAGACACGAAGAAATGCACATGCAGACATGGAGATGCACACGGAAACAGAAACGCAGAGAGGCATGGAGACCGACACAGAGACGCACACAAATACAGACAAAGATTCACCATATAGCCTTAACAGACCATACTCTTTGGGTCTTTTGGTAAAGTCACATAGATAGAAAAATTATAAAATAATAAACAATCACGACGTTTCGATCCCAACACAACCAATCGTCTTCAGGTGAAAAAATACAGCATGCGGACTGCCGAGGCAGGAAGAAAATATAGCGAGAGAGCGACTGCAGCCAAAGGTTATATAGGTTTGAGATGGGTATCACCCAAGGGTAAGTTGGCGGGGCTAGAGATGGAATTTGCAAGTAAATGTAAGATCGCAGAGCTAGGTATACCTCGCTATTGTGTTGCTAGAGATTAACATGTCAATCTGTTAATTTAACCCCACGGTTACGGTGCAGAAGAAGCCATTGTATTGCTCGAGATTATAGATTAGCATGTCAATGTGAGATGGCTCCCGCAGCAGCGGCTGTGTTAATGAGAGACATTCAGCCTATTAAACAACGAGCGCCACCGCCGCATCGAGGACAAGGGAGCAGCAGCTATGTTAGTGAGACATTTAGCCTGTTAATGTAAAGGCATTTAACAAAGTAATGTAACTCGGAGAGTCGGAAATAACTGCTAACATAGGCAGGTACGATGGAAGCATCACAGCCAGTCATGACTTTACCTGGTTAATAACATCCTTCCAATGATTGCTCAGGTGGTACCCATCTTCTCGGTTGAAATTGTGTCTGCGTTTATATATCTGGATGGCTTCATGAACAAATCGGGTCTCCGAGCACGTGGTTGCCTCGTAGGACAGAGAGCTTCAGCTTGAGACGTAGAGCTTCCCGCTTGTAGATGTTGAGCTTCCAGCTTGTAGAATGCAGCGACCCCGGTCCCTCTCAGGAACCCGCCTTATATCCCCCTACGGTCGGGGTCGCCCTGACCTCGGCCCCGCCCGCCTTCTCGAGCATTCTCGTTCCTTCTCGATCCTTCTCAAGAGCTCTCTCCGGACACGTGATTACCCACTAGCCCCTCCACCTGGGGCCCCCTGTGTGGACATTCCGGATCACGTGTCTACGGGGTCAACCAGAGTGCCACGGCCCAGGACAACCCTGCCCCTGGGCTGACACTCACCCCCTCCCCCTCGGGGGAGCCCCCACCACACGCTGTGCGTGGTGCCCGCACTATCCCAGTGCTCGCCAAGCCCCGCTAGTGCTGGTATTACACACAGTCACCACACGGCGCTGTCCCCGCTAGTGCTGGTATTACACACAGTCACCACACGGCGCTGTCCCCGCTAGTGCTGGTATTACACAGTCACCACACGGCGCTGTCCCCGCTAGGGCTGGTATTACACACAGCCACCACACGGCGCTGTCCACGATGTAGGAACATCTAACGGCACGACCCTTCCGGGCCGGCGCCATACAGTGACATCCCTGATGTCACTACACAGACAGACAAGGAGACACAGAAATGGGAGACACGGAAACAAAGACACGGAAACAAAGACACATACACAGAGAAATGCACACCCAGACATGGGGATGCACACACAGACATGGACACACAGAGACACGGAGATGCACACAGAAACAGGGAGAAACGCACACACAAACATGGAGGCGCACATGCAGACATGGAGACACAAAGATACAGACAAGGAGCCACAAACAAAGACCTGGAGACGCACAAAAAGACAGGGAGACGCAAAAGATAAAGAGATACACAAATGTACAGAAAGAGACGACAGAGATGATGACAGAGACTTGGGCACGACATGTCCCTCACATTGTGCGCCTTGTGTCTTCATGTCTGTGTCTCCATGTTTGTGTCTGTCTTTGTTTATATGTGTCTATCTCCCTTTCTGTTATTCATTGTTCACTTTTCAAAGACACTCCGTTCTCTTATTCCCTGCTTTATTTTTATCATTTTGATCCTGATCCACCTTCAATAACTGCCCTAAATACACATTTATTCTGCCGTGTTTTGTAGTTATTTTCGTACAGTGCTTTACTTGTTGAGCAAATTTGTTTAACATTACGTTTTTTTGCTGTTATTTATCTTTCATTAACTATGTGGCCTTCGTGAAGTTCTTCAGTGATATCTTGTTATTCACTTTTAATTCAAATTACTGTCATTGGTAAATCTGACATGGCTAAAACTGTCTGTTTATTGTTCAGCCTTTTTATCTTTCATCTATACATTTTGAATGGGAGAAAGATGTCTTCTGATATTGTGTAACACCTTATCTGACTGCTATTCTGATTTGTGTTTTGTTTCTCCTGTCATGCAAACTCAACGTGGCCGTCACTTTATTAATAATTCTAGTAATGTCTCTACATTGTTTTAATTGATCCCTTGGTTGGTGAGAGCTTGGATAACTGCTTCAGTTTGCACTGAATCAAGTGCTTTTTCATAATTTATTAAATATAACCAGGCCTAATCGCATTTGTTTTTAGGATTTGATTGACCTTGTGTATGTGGGCATTGGTGCCAAAGCCTTTGCGATATACAGCTTGCTCATATGGTTGGTTGGCCTCTAAACCTCCGTAATTCGGTTCCCTAAGGGCTTTGTTAACAATATATATCGTTGCGATTGGATGCCAATGGATCTGTTATTCTTTAATAACTTCATCAATATTGCTGGAGTCCGCATCGCAGGATGTGAATCAGTCTAGGGGTTATTATCATTTTACATCGATTGTATGGAAATGCAATCATCCCAGATGTGTTATGCTACACTTATAGTACGATCAAACCAAATGTCATTTTATCTTTAGTGTTCACTTTGTGGCAGGGAATCTCCTCAATGAGAGACTGCATTGACGGCGTTGTGCTAATTGTCCTTGTCGCTCCCGTTTATAGGGCGAGGGAGAGGTGAGCCAGGTTTCTACCAAAGAAGTTTCGATGAAGTGGAAGGAGGGTTTGGCAGGGGAGCTCGAGAAATCAACCGCAGCCAGAGCTGGGAGGAGCGGTAAGTGCTGGACCAGAGCCTTCGCGAGATGTTAACTGCCTCGCCTGGTATATAGGTCGTGGGTTTGATGCCGACCCTGACACCTGCTATATATTTGGAGTCGGCGTGCTCTGGTTTTTCCTTCCACATTTGGAAACATGCACTTTGAGCTTGGGAAAAGCGCTTTATAAATAAAATGCATAATTATTATAACATTTCCACATGATAAGCCACTTTGTTGAGCTACCATTTGTGGCCAGGTCGCTTATGAAAAAAGCTATATAGCTCAGTGGGCCTTACCTGGTAAAAATATATAGATCTACAAGAGCAGTAATACATTTTCATTTTTTTTTTCCGTTGACCGATTCATAGTATGTGGTTAATGGTAGAGACACTTTTCCTAAAGCCTGCTTGCTTCCATAGGTGGTCAGTTGGACTCTAAAAGTTCCCGTTTTCTCTTCCTAGTGATTTCCACTATCAGTTTATGTACGTGCAATAAAGCGGGTAATGGGTTTGTCATTTTTCAAGTCGAAATTTATGTAGCTGTATGAATGGAATAACGATTGAGATATTCCATTTCTAGTTATTAAACGTAAATGTCAGTTTGTGCAATTCACCTCCACCGGACGTCCACTTTGCTGATTCCCTGTTTTACTCAAATCGCACCTTAAGGCGCCACTTATTTTTAAGGGCTTTTCTACTTCTTGAATTATTTGCTTTCAGATTGGATGTTATTTGTGTGAGCCTGCATGTACAGCTTTTTATGATCTGCGGGTGAAAAGCGCTTTAGAAGTATAAATATATTTAAAAATTACTCATAAAAAAAGTAAGTGGGCTTGGGCAGGATAAATTGCTGTAATGGGGGATGAAGGCCAGTGGTCGTGTCATAAGGATGAGAGTTGTCACCTTTGAATCGTTTTGGTGGCTGTGGAAGCTATCTTATGAAGCTAGGCCCTGTCGTGGTGATCTACATAGTCCTCAGGAGCACGATGCTGTAGCTGCAAGCGTCTTCGTGGTAACATTTTGCCAGAAAGAATGTAGTTGTGATGGATCTCCTTTGCACACATCTTTAATGTTTGTCTTTTGAAAATAATGAGTAGTTTCTGTACATGCCATCCATGTAATTAGAAAGGGTTATTGATATTATTTTGGCATGTTGTGCTTATCTGGCAACAGAGGTGGTGACAGAAGATTTGAGAAGCCAGGCCGACGCGATGCCCGTGAGTAAACATGTTTCTAACTTGTGCTACAATATTGACTATGTCGTGAAGGACTGTACACACGAGGTTGTGCATTGCCTTCATGGGGTACACATTTTTACACGTGTGGTTTTTATTTAGGCTCACTAAAACATTGTCGAGGACACTAGGTTTGTGGTCTAGATATGAGCAGGTGCAATTTGGCATACAATTTCAAATGAAACCACACAAACTCTCTACATTGTTCATTGATGCTGTCTTATGAGGAGCACATGATAAATTGATCTTCTGAGCGTTGTCCCTACTTGAGGGTAGAAGGCTTAGATTGATAGACTTGTGGTTGAAGATTGTACTTTTCGCTCTAGAGCGTTGAGAAAAAATTGACATGTGAACATTTTAGCAGTGATGCAGTTTTTCATTTGCAAATGGGTAGCAAACAAACCCTGAAGTAGTATATATATAAATATACAGTAAACCATGGCTATTTGACATTTATCCAGACTAATGACATAGTAATATTACGAAAAGAAATGTACTGTCAAATGTAGAATACGGTAAGTCGTCTCTTTACATACAATGCATAACACAGTGCTTCCAGAACACGGTGCTTCTATTCGGGAACGCTTTTCACACAACACGGAACCCGCCCGATATAACGCAGCTTCTGAGTGGTTGATGATGAATAACTTTCTTGAGCTGCGCGGCTGACCGGTTATGATCCAGTACACGGAATTATACAGTACATGGCATAACCTTCTTCTCAGTTCTCTGTCTCTCCATGGGATAACTGCAAGCTGAGTTTACAGTGCAAATGTGAATCAGTACAGTAATTCCTCGCTTGGTGCGTTTTTCGCTTGACGCGGAACTTTTGAGGAGCACGTCTGTCGCATTAAATGAGGGATTACTACGTTATAAAATATAATATGCATAATCAAAACACAATAACATGTTATATTGTTTACAATGCGTAAAATATGTCATTTTTGTGACATCAACACTGATACATGGGAAGCTATGGCAAGAGGAAGGGAAAACTGGCAACATTCTGGGTTGGCTCTCGGAACCTTGATGTCAAATGTCTTCAGTGGTGAAATAATCACGAACGTGCGAAGCGGGGTGACAGCCACGGCCTTTGGTTGTGGCCCCACAAGTGTCTGTCTCTCCAGGATCAGCCTTTAAAGCCATGCTAGGACATGTCATTCAAACTGGGTCAAGCCTTTCAACATCGTATGCTGTTGACAGAAGGATACCGTTGTCTATAAATGTGTTGTGTGGTAAAAAGGACGCTGAATCCGGTCGTGTAGGGGCTGACACCAAACTGTTTATTCAGGGCTTTTGCCTAACTCGGGGGAAGGGGTTAACACCACAAGAGTTCTTAACTAATCTCCCCAGGGCAAGGGTACTGGGAGTTCCCTACACCCTACCAGGCTATCAGGCTCTTCCCACAGCACTGACCGAGGGTTCAGCCAACTCGGCCAGCCGGGTAAAGCAGCCCTTTAGCCTGGCTCTCAACCCTCTATCTTGGAGCCCCCTACTTTCCTAACGCTCACTCCTCCGATTCCCGGCGAAGAGCCCGTCTACGTCACGGGTCTTCCCTTAAATACCCCGGGTGGCATGACGTCACTTTACCTTGACGGCATTCCCCCCTAGGCGAGTGTGACCTGACGTCAGCACTCCACTCAACAAATGTACCTGCTGCAATACGGGTATGGTACAGGCTATTTTTCTTGTTTAACGTGAGGCTGGGGTTTCCCCAAGGGGTTCATACCACTGAAAGGGTTCATACCACTGAAACTTGCTTCATCACTGAAAAACACCCAACTCCCTCCCCAAGTAAATATTTTGGGTTGGACGCAAAAGCAGATGTGGTGTTAGAGTAGTGTGTGCTCGCACACAGATAGGTACACTCCCTAAAGTTTTGACACCAAGACACTACCCCCCTTACTTTGGGCTTTAATTTTTATATTTTTTTATGAATAGATTATTTAACCCTGCCATGGTGTAATGGTTAGCATTCTGGACTTGCAATGCAGAGGTCTTCGGTTAAGTTTGATTTCTTGGCATAGGAGTGGAAACAATGGTGCAAGTTTTGTAAATCTCCCCACCTCTGTCCACCCAGCAGTACAAATGGGCACAACATAGTTATGTGATTGACAAGTCACATGTGGTGGGGTAATGTGTGGGTTCTCCCACTGACTTCTTATAATGTGTCTGAAGTGTGGAAGAGTAGGCCAAATGCCTCTAGAGGTGCTCTCTAGAACTCTATGTAGTGGAAGCCCTTCTGCCAGTAGAAAAATGAGCAGGAAATTGCAGGGCTCCACATTTCACTATTTGACTGCCAGCTGCCTATACACTGCAGAATCTTGTGTGTCTAGTGTGAGGCTTGTGTGCCTCGATTCCACCACCTTATAATGACTATATACATGACTAGCCTTTTGCCCGTCCAAGGACGGGTATATTTCAGTAAATCTGAAACTTCCAAGCGAAAAGAAGACTGCAACGTAATATTCATTGCATCAATTTGTGTGCAATTTGTAAGGCCGCGGTGACAGACTTATTTCATTTAAAAGTTATAATCCCTTGTTCATCATGAGGTCCTTTTTACTTCTATGTCTTATTAGCGTTACGGAGATCGCGTGATGTGAGGGTTGTAAGTTGACGCTGAGGAGGGGGAAGGAGGTGCCTCGCCCCCCCCATGTGGATTGACGTCACCCAATATTAATGGGGGGGGGGTCCATTTGGAAGACGTCACCGTTTCATGATTAATAATGTGGGACGGCTGTTAGATGTGTAATGACGTCACCTGCTCATGATTATTAATGAGGGGGGGGTGCTACATTAGGAGTGACGTTACCCGCTCATGATTATTAATGAGGGGAGGAGGCGCCTCGCCCCCCCATGTGGAGTGACACCACCCGCTAATTATTATTAATGGAGGGGGGTGTCCATTTGGAGGACGTCACCTGCTCATGATTATTAATGAGGGGGCCTGGTCGACGTGGAGTGACGTCATGCGCGTTACACACTTACATTCTTGGGTAAATATAGTAGTCAATGTTGCTGTAATATATTGTGTTTGCACTTATATTACTCCCATAATGTAACAATACGTCTCAGATTGCACTGTTTAGATTCTTAGCCTAGGGGACCTCCTGATGGCAGTTGCCCCTGTGGCACAGGGTAACTCGGCACCGGCTCGTAAGTGGGCATTAGTCTGATAATAGGGAGCCATCATCGCTATATGTAATTCCAGTTTAATAAATTTTGACCATGACTCCAGCACTCGATGGCCTCCTCTTATCAAATAACTTACATTGTAAAGCAGATGGCTTATATTTATGGTTAGTGCACACCGCAGGATTAACCAGAGTGGTTTGCCAGAATTGATCCATTAACCTCTGAACCAAGTGGTGAACACACTACAGCTGAGCCAATACATAAGATGCAAATGTTTTCTCTTCATATATATGCACACACACAATGCAGTATACGGAATATGATCAAAACATCCGGCCTGATTTTGTTATGTGTGTAAATAAGACTTCTCATTAAGTTAAGGCTGTACCCTTGAAAGTATGCTCGTCTGCAATTCCAGTGTTCCTGTAAATTCTCAAAACACTTTTGGTAACACCCTATCTCAGCCACTTGCAGAACCAGTTTTATTTATAACTAGCGGTAAGTACCGGGCGTTGCCCAGGCGAAAAAGGCAGACACACACATCGACTTACACACAGACATCGACCCACACACATAGAAACACATCGACTTACACGCACACACATACATATCGACTGACACACACAGACATCGACTTTAGACACATACATGGAGTTACACACACACATCGACTCACATACACACATATGGACTTACAAAGACACACATATTGACTAAGACGCACACACATGGACCCACGCACACACATGGACCCACGCACACACATCGACTTGCACACTCATGGACTCGCACACACATATACATAGACTCACACACACATGAACCTACACACACACATGGACTTACAGACGCACATATCGATGCACACACACACATGGACTCTCACACACATACACACATTGCCGTACACACATCAACTGACACACAGACTCACACACAAACACACATCGACTCACACATGCATATAGAGGCACACATATAGAGGCACACACATGGACTGACACACACACACATGGACTTACGCACACACATGTACGTACACACACACAACAACAACCGCCATTCGCCACTAAGTGGCGGTGACGTCACCACGACGCTTGTGCCAGGCTATGTGCATCTTGAGGCCACGTGAAGTATCCAAACGCCCGCTGGCAGGAGGTGACGAGGCAGACGCAGGTGGCACGGGTGGACTGACTGAGATGACTGGCTGATGCACCGCCTGTGCCCCCTACTGTGCCAACTTGCTGTGCTTTAGGCACCCGGCGCTCCGCTCGTTGTTGTGAGCGTCGCTCCTCCGCCCTCCGTTGTTGTTGGAGGGCAACTGCCTCCAATTGCCCAGTCGCGTCCTTCACAAACCTCCTCCACAAAGGCCGATCTTGACACCGCTGGTACCAGTCATCGGCAAGTCCACTCAGCTCCACATCCTCCTGTCGCACATCACTCCATCTCGTTTCACAAGCGTAGAGAAGGGAGGGAATGACCGTGGCCAAGAAGACCTGGAGTTTCGTGCGGAGCGACAGACCAGGTAGCTTCCACACAGCGTTACGCAACAGATGAAAATATATTGCCGTTCGACTGATTCGGAGTGAGACCTCTGCTGTTAAACCGGAGCTGGTCATGAGCACACTGCCCAGGTATGGGAAACTCTCCACTCTCTCCACAACTGCCCCATCACCGATTGGGATTTGTGGAGTGTCCGATGGTACAAAATACCCAGGCAGGTGCTTAGTTTTGGTAGGGCTGATGGTAAGGCCCCACCTCTTAGTGGCACGCTCCAGTTTCAGCAGCAGCGTTTCCAACTCCTCCTCTGAATGAGCAGCTATTACCAAATCATCGGCATACAT